GTATCAAAGTGTTGAATTATTAAAGTTTTTAGACCTGTAATAATTAATAAAAGAGGCTTCCATTAAATAGGATGCCAAAGTATATATATAAACTGATAGTCTGAAGTACCTGAAAATATTTAAAAATTACTATTCCTCTTAGTTTATGTGATTAATTTGTACTTCTTAGAGTACTTTGCTTTCTTTATAGCTCAGAAGTTAATTTGCAGATTTCCCATTTAATAAGATCCAAAATTAAAGAGGTTTTGGAATATCCATAATTTGTTGCAAGGGGGGAAATTTAACTTTATAATGGAGTAATGAGTCATATCACCCTACACCAGTGATCAATTTTAGCATCACATTGGTAGGTTAAACAGCTGTTGCTACATATCTACGTAAGATGTAGCAACATCACCTAGGATGTATTCTGGTGCAAAGTACTTAACTTGAATTCATCCAGCCTTTTAAATAACTCTGGAAATATGGGAGACTAAGAAACAGGCTAAATGACACCACAGGTAATAAATCCAGAAGCTAGGGTGTTCTAAGAAATAATTGTCCATGTCTCTTCAACAAGGGACTTGGCTAGATAAAAAAAAGACTGATGGAACACATCACTCAGATGCAATGTGTGGTCCTAAATTGGGTCTAGTCTAGACACAACAGCTGTGAAACATTTTTGGGATCATAAATGGGGATATGGTCTAGTTACCAGTTGAGATTTTTCGGAAATGGAAAGATGGAGATCAATGATTGAAAAAAGTAGGTTAAGAAGCTGTTTGTAAAATATAATTTCATACTCTCCTATGTGTCCACACATACATTTTTAAGTGTATGTGTGGACACATAGAAAAAAAAATCTGTATTTTAACAGTGATGATCTTGGGGGTCCGGGGGGTAAGAATGTGATCGCTTTATTTTTGCTTGCAGTATTTTCCAGTTTGCTACAATGTACATAAACTGCTTCTGTAATAATAAAATACTAGTTTTAAAATACAAAGTCCACGGAAAATTGTGACTTTATTTTTCTATTAATAAATCCATAAACCATGGTCTATCACAAGATTTATACGAGACAGCTATTGACATGAATAGAAACCAAGGGAAACTGGAGGTGTATATAAAAAGGGCCTGAACCTGAACTCTGATTATTTATCATGCTTTGGTTTAATGAAGATGTGTAGTATCTTTCATGTCAATTCACATATGAAATGTTATGCATTTAAAGTCTGTCTTGACTTTTTCTCACTAGAGGTGTAACAACTCTTCTAGTAATTATTAGATGGATTGGAATAAAACGTATTTGCTAAAGCAAAAAGGATTCTAGATGCCTTTGGACAATAACCAGCCTGCTTCTTTTTCACCAGGAAAGGGCAAGCTTAATGGTTTTGGGATCACCACTACATACGCAAACCGAATTCCGACTAAATAAGCAGCCATTTTAGAATATACATATTCACATCTGATTGCCTTAAAAGTCAACATATGTATAATTTTCGCTAAGAGAGTATGCAATTTCAGTTAAATATGACGATGAACCAATTTCGTGTCATTTCTTTTAAAATTCATATTTAAGTTGTATTATTTGAGAACTGCTCATATTTTAAATTTAAGGCTGACCTTTTAAAAGTTCCATTTTTTTAAATTGACAATTACTTGGTATATTTAACTGTTACTTATCTGTATCAGAGTTAATCAGATCTGCAGTTACAATGTCTGAATTTGAAACCTCCCATTTATTTAGCTGTGCCATCTTAGGCAAGCTATCTAGCCCAATTAAGCCTCAGTTCTTTTCATCTATAAAATGGAGAAAATAGCATTTACCTCACAAGGTTGCAATGATTAGATGAGATTATGCTTAGAAACCTGCCTGTTACTTAGGAAGAGCTCAATAGAATATCCATGACAATGATGGCGATTCTCTTATAATCCTGATGTGTTATTTATATCACAATAATATTGAGAATGCTGCTTGATATCTCCACACAGATGCCCAATAGGTATCTCAGTCTTACTAGACAAATCTACTGCTCCCTCCCTTCAGCCTGCTTCTCCCAGGGTCCCCATCTCAGTAAGAGTTACCACCATTAATTAACTACTTACTCAGGACCTGAACCAAGGAGTCATGTGTACCCTCCTTTTCATTCATTATATCAAATTCCTATGAGCTCTATCTTCAGTGTATTTGAATCCCACCACCTCTCACAGGTGCACCACTGCCACTCCAGTCTAAGGCAGCAGCATCTCTAGCCTAGACAACTGCAAAGACTACATACCGCTCAATTTTCACTCTTGTCCTCCTTACTCACCTCAGTCTATTTTCCACCCAGATGACAGAGTGAGCCTTTAAAATATATACCAGGTGATGCCACTTTCTGCTGAGAACCTCTCAATGGCTTCCCATCACACCTAGACCAAATCTAAGCCCCTTTCCCTGCTGAAAAGACCCTCAGTGACAGGGCTTCGGCTTACCTTCTCCC